ATTCAAATCTCGTTTTTATGTCATGCCCATTGTTGAGGTATGTGACGCTGGCAACACAGCACATTTCACAGGACAAGCTAGATGGGGCAGCGCGAAAAGTGGCGGCAGATTACATTGAATTTGAGGTAGCAGAACTGCAGGCATCATGTACCTACGTACCGCCGCTTAGGGTAGAGACAATAAAACAGACCGGCTTACATTTCAGGGGCCGGATTGAGCTTTTGACATGTTTCTGGTCATGGATGGACGTTTGACCAACCCCTCCAAAGAATTCCCTCTGATCCGACCCCAACACAAAACGCTGAGGGCGTTCTTTTCATTCTTTCTGGTTATCAATGAATGGTTGGTGGCAAGGAACTACAGTGATTTGATGGTTAGAAATCCAAATCTGGACTAATTCCTGTGGGAGACGTTCCCCGAAAGAGTTCAAGTAACAGCAGTTTGGTCGCATGTACGTTCAGCAAGGTATGGCGACGGTGGGTTAACTGAGGTGGAGTTCCTTCCCTTGTAATGGGAAAATGAGCCGTACCGCAGCGTTATTCACGGGACGAGCGAAACGCTCAAGTAGCTAATGCGAAAGCTAATGAGGAAAACATTCTTCACGAATATGTTAGTTCCATGCAGAGAATGTATATCGTTGGAGGCTTTTCTTTTTTAACAAGGGCCCAAATTCAACTCGACGTTTGGGCACTGGGCTGTCGTACAAAATGTGGATCCGTACCATTCGGAGTTCCCGTTCACGTCATAGTGACGCTGTAGGCCAAGATTGAGTGTGTGCTTCACCCATATCGAGGAGGATATATGTTGTTGATCGAGGAGAGGCGGTATTGCGCATTGGTTGGCCTGCGGAGAAGGGCCTGCCAAAACAGTCCCATATGCAGCCAAAACAATCGGTGCCGGCGTCCTCCAGCCGAATTGAACGCAACCCCCAAAGCACCTCGGCGAAACCCTAGCAAGGCCCTGAAACACGACTGATCTACCTAGGAAAAGGCTCACCACCATTTTCAAAGAGCGTCTCCAATTGCGTACTGTCGGCAATTTGTCAGCCCGATAAGAGCTCATTGGACGTGCAAGGTCTGATGTGTGTCCAACACTCTCGATGTTTCCAGCTTTTTGAGAAATTTCCCGCTCTTTCACTGTGCCCTTGCGTTGCTCCTTCTGAGGAGGTCGCTTTGCTTTCACCAACATGGCACTACACATACCTTTTGTCGGCGTTTTCCCCCCCACACGTCTTACCTTCGGCCTGGAGGCTACGCACACTGCTGTTGATCGTTTGGGCGTCGGCCACATGTTGGAGGTTTCCCTGTTGACGAGACGATCAAAGCACGCAAGGTTTGTATATGCGTCGACGTTTTCTTCAACGGAAGCAACCGTAATCCTTCGGTTCGAGGCAGCGCGCGTAGCCTCAACACTGGTCCGAGGCAAGGGCATTATCCGCGTTTATTTCAAACCTTTGCCGCGCTGCCTTCTTCGGCACACACCTCTTCGATGAACAACCAGGTATCTCTCCACAGCGCGCCAAGAAAACCCCGTTTGGTGGCCATATGAACGTTTGTGTGGAAGCAAACTTCCAAGAGTAGTGCAGACACAACATTACGAACAGGTCTAAATTCCGAACACGGGCTTCCCCAGTAATTTTGTACGGGTCGAACACAACGGACTGCGTTGGTGTCTACATGTGGCACATACACAAAGGTGATACAGTACTCCACCTGACGTAACTGACCCCGCATGCAACCACGAGCGGAATGCACAGGCCTCTACACTAAGGCTTCGCACACAATATGAACAGCGAGAGTGAACAGCGACTAGTTGCCATACTTAAAATGGCCCGCGGCACGTTGCCGCTGTGAATACGCTATAAAATAAGTGAAAATTGCAACACATTTTAAGGATGGCTACGAATATTTGCAATAACACGACAAAACGCTGGTACATCGGCCACAAACTTGCGAGTATGATTAGTTAATCCTGTATGTCCCCGGCTTTTTCGCCAAGAAAGGACTAAAACACGAGGAAGACACCCACAATACTATCGTCTAGATTGGTGGCGAAGTCTTTCCGCTCCCGTTCATCTAGTTATACACCGTTTTGAAAACGCCAGGCCGCGAACTCGAGGAATATCGATGTACCTCGTCGTGGGCGTTCATGCCCCTGAAAGCGAAGCTGGCGGAGGCCGAGGTGCCGCTAAGAGCAAGTAGCACGATTGGGAGGATGGGCACGATCCCCATCGTCCATGACGTCTTTGTCTTTATCATTATGGTCGTCCTGCATAAATGCAAGCAAGGGGCAGAGAACGGTCCAGAACAAACACTCGAGATAAGACATCGCGGGAAACAGCAGGGGATAACCAATGTTTCGGGTGCAGAAATGGGTTTGTGACGCTGACTCTTGCTCGCATACATAAATCCTACAAGAAAAAGTACAACCTTAACGCCAGGGTTACATGTTGCATCCTATTGTGATCAGTAGAAGACACCACGAAAAAGTGTCGTCGTGCGTGCCGGAACCTTCAGGTTTGCTGCTGTAGCTGAAATATCGTAACGTCGCAGCAGTCTCTGGAAACAATCCGAAATCCGCGCCGGAACCAAACGGCATCCAACATTTGTCACCGCCGTGCTCACCGCCACGGACCGTAATTCCCTGAAAGAAGGTCGACAGCAGTAGCTAGTGGCATCAGCTACTGTTGTAAACCCGCAGTCAAGGAGGTTCGGGTCGGTGGCAGCGAGCACGGCCGTGACAAATGTTGGATGCCGCTTGGTTCCGGTGCAGATTTCGGATGTTTTCAGAAACAGGTGCCACCTTCGATATTTCAGCGCCAGAGGCAAACCTGAGCGTGCCGGCACGCACGGCGCCGCTTCATGATGTCCTCTACTGATGGCAACAGGATGCGACACGTAGTGACAAAATAACTAGCTTGAGCGCATTCCGTTTTGGCTCTCTTGACTACTTTACAATTTAGAACAGTGTTATGTATTACTGCGAAGTACAAATTCATGTGATGATTTCAAAAGAGGCGTGTGGAGGTAGACGCGGGAAATGGCTGTTTCGATCAGCCTGCACTCTTGCCCTGTGCGAGAAGCAACGATTGATTTCGGTTTTTCGCGGTGTCTTCCTATTGGTATGTCTATTATCCAATTTCTGGTGCTCTTGCGCTTGTACTCAAAACTACATGTAGTCAGCATCAAATTTCGCCTTCTTCACCCCCTCCAAACTAAATGTGAGCGATCAATTTGGTATCCTGCCTTGACGGTTTGTTTTGCCGGTTGTATGCATTCCGATAAAATACTGTTCGACGAGGTTCGGGCGACGCCGAAGGTGGTGCATCTATCACCAACCGTGAACTTCGGTAATTATGCACCGGAAGGTCAGTGGGAACTTGGGGCCAACCGGGTCCGCATGCCAACGACACTTTGTAAACGCTATCTGGTACAACAGTACCTGATTTCTGCATGCAGCCCAAGGCAGACGGCAATTAATTCATGACTACCCCAACCTGGTATAGTATGCCGAAAAGGGTGCAAACCATTTCCTGTGTTCACTGGACAGACACCAAAACGAAGACAGAAAAAGCGCGCGCGTTGCCATCACATGGCAAGCATAACGACATCTAGTCTACATACAGTAGATACGTTCAAGAAGATAATCTGAACTTAGTGGGCTTGTCGCCCGCTGCACGTTATGGCCGATGTCGGACAAAAAACGGTCTCACGGAGGTGGTACAACACGTATTTTCTCCAGAAGAAACTGGACAAAGGAGGGAGGTGGGGGCGGTGGCGTCTTAGGAAGGGGCAGGGGTGGCACGTAAGAACATGGCGGAGTCTTCCGTCTTTGCAAGGACTATTATTGTTAAGGAGGATCCGATTCGCAGGGTATCAGTCGATCGACTTTTAACTGAATCGATATAACTTCGCGTATGTATGGCGTCAGCTGGATACTGATTCGAATCTCCTTCTTGGGTGCACACTTTTTCTCTTGACTTGGACATTTTCCCATGGATAAAAGTGTGTCAAGTTCTGAGAACACCTCTTGGAGTCGATTCTACAAAAAGCCTTGTGACACTTCCATCAAATTACCCATCCTGGCAACAAGAGGTTCCCAGTTGAGAGGGAAAATTCTGTGGGTGGAGGTGTTAACGAGGACCCTAACCCCATTCGCAGGGTATCCGTCGATTGACTTGTACCTGAATCGATACACACACCTTCTTCGCACTATTTTGTGTTTGCGCAGTACAGCCGACCCCGCATTACGGACGCTTGCGTTAAGGAAACTCCCCGCTCAATGGAAACTTGTTTATGCTGAGCACCGGGGTCCCCGCAGAGTATACGATAATGGGGTAACCCCATTTTTCTGCCGCGTACCCCCCTTTTTGTGTCCTGCAGGCCTGCGGGCCGCTTTTTGCACGAACCACGCACCACAGCAGCAGTGAGTGCAGAAGTAGCGACGCATAGACAGCACAAGTAGCGAGCGGTCTGCTGCTGCAGCTGTAACTGGGTGTTGGTTTGGATATACTCCTCCCATCTACCGGCGGGCCATCTGATACCGCCAAAAAAAGAGTCGTGCATAACCTCGTCCCTCACCGAGGGCGAGGTTATCTCTCACTTGGAGGACGTTCGATCCTACAGATAGCGCCCGCAGTGAAGAAACGCCAAAATCGGTTCGAGCCTAACCAATCCCTTCTTCTGGGTGGAAGTACCGGCCCAAGTCGTCCATTTCGTAAATGGCATTTCTTCTTCCTTTGGACTGTCGCATCCTCCCGATTCTCTTTTTCCTTAGACTGTAACAAGTACTTCGCATTTCCTTTTTGCTGCCTTTTGATCTCTGAGGACAATCCACATCAAGCCCTCAAAAGAGGTGGTGGAGAGTGCCATCAAACCCGTACAACAGCGGAGAGCATATGGTTGTCCGCGATGTGTGGCAGTACTACAGTACAGCACTCATTATGCACAGCAGAGGCGCGGGGGAACAGGGGAGGGGGGACTCTGCCCCCTCAAGAACGAATGCACATACTTCTGTTCAGCTTGGGAGGGGGTTGGGAGCACCGGGGCGGGCAAGAGAGCGACTGGGCGTCTCGTCTAGGAGAGGACCTCGTGGCCTTCAACATGGGAGACGAAAAGGAAGAGGGTAAATGGAAAGAGAGCGCCAAGGACCCGGAGGTGTGGTACAACAAGGTCGAGGACGGGGCGGCATGGTTCATGACGAAATGGCACAGGCAGGAGGCGGAAGCGTCCGCGAAGCGCCAGTGCGCGAGGGAAGCAGAAGCAGAGAGTACGGCCTCAGGACCGAAGAGAAAGAGAGCCGGGGAAGCGGCGGTGGGGAGAAAGAAACGTCGACCGGGCACTGCTGTAGAAGCGAGTAGGGCGGCCGAGGCGGCCCTTGTGGCGAATTATGTACCCGGCCGACTTTGCTGCGCCCTGTTTCCCTCCCTGCGGTATGACATACTCCTTGAGACTATGTATGTAGACTATGTCTTTTGTATTGCCTTCGGCCTCTGTGCTGTGGTTCTGTGTTTCATTTTTTTCATGACCTCCCTGCCTACTCTGCTGTGTTGGGTACCGCTTTGCTGTTGCCTGTGTTGGGTACCGTGATCTCGCTTTGCTGTTGCCTTTTTTTTTGTACGTCTGGCTGTCTGCCCATCTGCCGCCTCTTTGTCCTGTTTTCTCCGCTACTCCCATGCCCCGGGGCGTAGTGCCTGGTGCTGGTACGTTACTCTTTGAGTTATTCTTTGGGCGGGTGTGGGAAGCGTCCTCCTGTATTTATTTTTGTTTTTGTTATATTTTGATAAGTTTCCGAGGGTCCTTTTCTCTAACGGTCGGTGCGATATCTGTTCTTTTCTTTCTTCATTTTGTTTCTTTTTCCGAGTGGTTTGTACCCTACTTACCACTTTTGTTTTGTTTCCCCGCGGCGTCGTATGTGCCGGGTTTTGAGACCATTGGCTCCCCATTTTTTGTGGACTATAGAGCTAGTGCGAGAAACAACAACAACAACAACAGCAACAAGCAACAAGCGCGCCTTCGCCCCTTGTGCTCACTCTCATCTAGCACCCATAAAAGCCTGGCCAGGGAGTCAGTTGATAAGAACATCTATCTACATTTCTCTTTCCGAAGCTCGCTCGGGCCTACCGATCTCACAGTAGTGTAACCTCTGATAGACTACAACGTCGACGAGCTACAGCAGTACCGCGGTGACAGCAGTGTAACCTCTGTAGCAGACTACAAAGTCTACGAGCTACAGCAGCACCGCCACCTCCGCTGCTGCAGAACACCACATTTTGTGATACACCACCGGGGCGACCGGCATATATATATATAGATATATATATATATATTTTCTCCCATCATTGGACTCTGTCGTCTGCCCCTCTGGCCCCTATCGTCCACTTCTACTAGCTAGACGACCCAAACGGGGTCACATAGGAGAGGAGGCTGGACCCCCTCCTGCGGTTTCTGCCTGAGGTATTTCTATCGCGAGAAGGGTACAGCAATCCCTTCCCTCGCGACTCACGAAGTTGATAGATTATGGTTTACTAACAACGAGCTTTGAAGCGCGTCGCTTTCATCCTAGACCAGGATGTATTTAGAGAGAAATAAACTCACTCTGCCGGGACTCGAACCCATGACCTGGCCCTTAGCAGGTTGCGAAGTTACCCACTAGACCACCGGGGCGACCGGTAGGATTTCGAAAATTTTTGCTTTCGGAATGGTTTTTCTCCAACACACTACATTGGCCGAAGGTTTGAAGTATGTGCGGCCTACATTTTTATATTTTCTCGCTGTGGCTTTTCGGGTGTGCGTCAATGTCTGCTTCTGCAAGTGACATCATTGCTGCAGGTGCTTCTGCTGTAATCCGCTGCGTTTGATCACTCGCCCGTCTGTATTCGTGTTTCCCATGGCCTGTGAGACTTGTGCCCGACGCGCAGGAATCTAAGAAAAGGAATAGTTACAGAACGGGTCCGCAACTAGGAAAAATTTGATCAGGACAAGAGCTCAAATGCTTACGAAAAATACGAAAAAAGGGCTAGGATACACAGCTCAATCTCGACCACAACATTAGGAACGCCTCGATAAGGAACATACATGATCGTGCGACACCCTCAAGACAAACAAGGAGGTAGCTGCGGGAGCGTGTTCAACAAGAAATGTCCCACTGCTGCTGATGCTACAATGCTCCCACCCCCTACCGATAGCTCATGTCATGTAATTCTTAGGTAGGGGGGGACGACAGTGTTTTTTTCCCGGCGCCCCCCGCGTCATGGCGCCGCCGTGGGCTGCGCTACCCACTGCTGCTGTACTGCTTTACTGCCACACCCCCAACGTTGGCCACACCGAGCTGTCGGTTTAATGTTCATGAAGGCTTGGTGGGTTGTTGTTTTCCTCGCCAGAAACGAGAAAATAATATATTCAGCAACATGCGACAGCCCCAAGGAATTATTAGAAATCCGTTTTAAGAAATTGGCCGACTTCAGCTGGCCTTTCTGCCCAAAATAGCAATTTGAAGCTCGACACGAAGTTGACGTTTCTTTTCTCCGGGCCCGTTCTGTATGTCACGGCAATGGGGTGGGTATGGTCGTGTAAATCGTTACGTTTCGGTTAGCACGAAGTAGTGCCATGTAGAAGGTATTCTCCCGAAGGTATTTTGCGCGGCGACTACAGTATGCATCTGCCCAGGGCCAGCATCGTGTGACAGGTGCAAGGCACGCGCCGGTTGTTCGCATCGCATCGGAGCTTGATCGTCGCAGAAGGCATGTGTCCAATCCGGTCATGGTCGTCGCGGTAGGAGGCAAACGTTCTTGGATGGTCGATGTCTGGCCATACTGATAGACCTGCAAAATGCGGCTATTATCCCCTCGGTTTTCAATACTGAAACGCATGTCATGAACAATGTGTCACGCCACGAAGACCACCCTGTGAGTATCCAACATGATGGACATCCACGAAGAAAGACGCTGACAACGAAGAAACTGTTTGTACACCCGTCGACGTGAAATCGCAACGAAGCACCGATATTCTTATGGTGAGACATGAGAAAGAAAACACGGAGAGGAAATCTACCTACAGACGAACGGCGACATTGATTGATGGGGAAAGTTTTTGTGCCGCAACTTGAGCCATCGTCATGAAAGAAGGAGGGTGCGTGCGGGTCTAGTATTGAGGGAGAGGGCAAAAACGGAAGTGTACATTCTAGAACGACAGACTCGAAGACAGGAAGAGAGGAAAACACGCAGATGTGACAAAATAAACAACACCACAAACAAAATCAATATCTTCATATGAACAGTTGAACCTTTGTGTTGGCTGGTCGTTATCAGTAGAGGCTGTTCGGGTTCTTTTCCGTTCTGGTCCTGGCGGCTGCTCGACTTTGGGTCCTTCATGTTCTTTGAAGCAGCTGAAACATTCTTTGCTTTCTTTCAAGCACAGCGGGAGCGGGTAGAATAGCGAGAACACCTTGCTTGGTCACAGGTCTCCGTTTGACAGCAGTTCGAAAACGCACCCGTCTGTACTCCTGGATGCGCACGGTGGAGGAACACAACAAAACGCCCGCCCGCGAGAAAGGTCTGAACCGCTCGTAGTGAAGCGCGGTGGCCATTCAAGTAGCAAAAGTCTATTAATAAGTGGTGGGACGCCGTTTAACCTCGTAGCACGGCTGATTGGTGGTGCGAGGTGAGTTGTTTGTCGGTCGGTCCCATCTGCTCTCTCTTCACCTCAGAACAACACCCGCCGCCCGATTGTTGGTTTTATCTTGTCTATTGCTGTCATCGACTCCGACGTTTGTGCCGTTGTGATGCTGCTGCTGTTATTTCTGCTGTTCGGGTCTTAGCTGCTCATTTTCATTGTCAGACTACACTTCCTCGTCCCTGGCTCTCACCCTTCTTGGAGCACAGGCAAACACACGCTGTGTGGAATATATATACTGTAGCTAACGAGCACCCACAAGCCGCAGCAGCACAGCTTGCACAAAGTCGGAACGTTGGACCGAACAAAGAGGAGAACGACGTTGAATGAACGTAGAAGGGCAGTGGCCAATATCGGGTACACCCGGTCCAAACTCGGCCATAGTCGGGTACTCCTACAAGACGCTGCTGGAAACGACCGCATGATGACACGATCTGAGTGGCCGACGCCCACCGCTACCCGACCTTGACCATCTTGACACCGGGTGCACCCGACCTTGGCTACTCGCCCCCCAGAGGGGTACCCGGTTTTTCTTTCCCCTACCCGAAAATGGCTGGGCTGTTCGACCAAATCCCATGCACACAAGTACACGTCAGCAATGCCTTGCCCTCGAATTCTGACGTTCTGACGGCGGGGGCGCACCCACCGCCGGCGTTGGAACTCTCAATTGAGGGAAACGGCATCAGGGCGGCCGGTGCAAATGATCGAGAAGAAGAGCTGTGGATGAATTCCTCACTCACGAGATGCGACACACACGAGACGCATCTAAGAAAATGACACATTATCTGCTACTGCTGCTTTCTCATTGGTGACAAACGAGCGGCCAGCGGTGTGCGTCCTACCCGTGATTGTGTGCATGTGGGTTTTCGCCGAACAGCGCCGCCATTTTCGGGTTGGGGAAAGAAAACCCGGGTAGGGTGCGTAGCCAAGATGGGGTACACCCGGTGGAAAGACGGTCAAGGGCGGGTAGGGGCGGGCGTCGGCCAATCAGACGGTGTCATGCGGTCGCTTCCAGCAGCATCTAGTAGGGGCACCCGATTATGGCCGTGTTTGGACCGGGTGTACCCGATTTTGGCAACTGCTCAACGTAGAACAAACAGTGACGACAGAATAGTTGTGCACCCAGGTCGCGGCGGACATGAGTTCGTTTCGACATTCATACTTTTTTCCGTTCACCACCCGTGTTCTAGTAGTATTGCGTGATAGTTTGGTTGTGTCTGCCTACGTGTGTATCCATCTTTCTTTGAACGCGCACGCGCTGCTCCTGTCTGTGGATTCATTCGATCCGTCCCACCTTTGCAAGAAGTCCATCCACATCCATCCATGTCGCCTCATTTTTTTTTCGGAATGTGGGACACACCCCGTGATGCTGTGGTCACTGCCCTACAACATACTGTTCGCGTGCTAAACGCGCTATACAAAGCTCGTTCGCCCGCTCGTGGCAAGGGTGTGCGTGTGCGTTTCCTGGGCTACAAAACGCCTCTAACGAATTTCTAGACGCTTGGCGGCCTGGAATCCGCGGCGGTGAGAGACGCAGCATCCGAACCACGGCAAATAAATGCGGAGTGTGGAACGAACGAACAGTGTTGTACTATTTAATCCATCCATGTCTAACAACATATTCGCCTGATTGAGAGCGAAGTATCTGATTGAGAGCGACAGCCAAAAAAATTGAAATTTCGGGTCCAGACGCCTCTTGCCATTTCTTGGCAAGTAGGGGACGGGCTATTCCAAGAAGCGGTGCAAATTGAAGGTCTCATCAGCAGCTTCGCGAGCATATGCGTGTCATCGTCATCGGATGCTGCAGCGAGGAGCTAGACAAGTTGCTAGATTTGCCCAGATTGGCTATTTCTGCTCAAACTGTTTCAGGGCGGTATCGCGTCGGGCGGTGGGCTCTGCTGTAGCTTCTGCTCCCCGCTGTAGCTCCACAACGAGAGACTCCCACAGGATGACCAGGGTAGCGGCTTGAAGCTACGGGCTAGCCCTTCAATTCAAGCTACACAGCAAGCTCCACCTCTCAGTGGTAGTCCGGCTACAGCGTATCG